AATCCATCACTAATGGTCAAATGATGCGCCATCATATCAGTCCTCAGACTATGAAGAAATTCATCAGAACAAGACGTTCTCGTCACCTTATCGAGGACAAGCACACGAATTCTGCGATATGGTGAACGGAAAACGCATAGAAATTGGTCAGAAACTGACAAAAGTTTGAAATCAATGAAACTTGAACAGAACCTCATCATTATTCCGTCCTTCAAATGAATGTTTTGCACGTGCGAATACTGGTATGTGGCCGTTGGTGGAGGGTGAGATCGTTTGCTGAGTTGGGTGCGCATCCGAAGACGAAGGAACTTCTTCGTGTGGTTCGTTCATTTTCGATTGGTTTCTGAAATCCGACCGAATTATGATAACAGTATAGTTTCTAAACTCAAAAAACACGTTTTATGGTTCGGGCTATTCGGATCGACCACAAAAAAAGGATATGACACATCGCAGCTAAGGCAAACTACAATGAGGAAATCATCCGAAGAACAATAGACCAATACGCTCTCCCAAGGGTAACAATTATACGATACTTTATATCGCATGCCTCAGTCAATGTCAATCACTTGATTTACCCGTAATCCACACGGGGAATTTAACGCAAATTCTAACAATGTGTTTAAGGTTATACGAAAATATTACACTTCATTACACGATAAATTCGGAAATTACCCAGAGCATCAGGCTTAAGAAACTGTAAATATACAATTGAACATTTGGAAAACGATTGAAGAAACAAAAAAATCTAGGTTTGCGAATATTTGATCAAATTTTCTTCGATCAAACAATTTTTAAAAATAATGACACACCAAAGTTTTGAAACAAGCATTCAACAATGACCGACTTTGCCAAAAGACGGAGCTCGTATGATCAGAGAGAGAGAAACTATCTTAAGACGTTGTTCAATGGCATTAGGGAATAAGAACAAGCGAGTTGAGAGGTTGAATACATTAATGGAACAATTTGGGTTATTTGAGAAGAAAGAAAACAAATCATTAAACGAATAAATAGGTTTACGACGGGAAATATTATGTCGAATTGTTTCGATGATTAATCGGAAGTCCTTCTAGGCTCACAGAAGTCATGGGCGAATGCACAACAGTGTTGTTCATCTGGGTTGATTCATCGTCTCCGATGCATATAATCTGAAATCAAAGAAAACCTAAAGGTAATATGCCAGGACCATAGTGATATGCAGGACCACAGTAATATGCAGGATGCATTGTTGGCTTTGTCGAGATCCAACGGATCCCACCGTTGGATGAGATATAATGAACGAAACAATAAAAAATAACTCTCCTCGACCCCATACCTTCCCCCAACCTCCTTCCCCAGCACCTCCCTTTAGCCCCATCTCCTCAATTTTCGAAGTTTAAAATTTACAAATTAACGTGACACTTCTTTGGAAAATAAGTTATAAGCTGAGAATCTACTGAATCTGATGGTTCCAAGAAACAATAGTGTTGCGAGGGAAACTTGAGGATACAGGTAGTTTGAAAATATTACTCATGATGTTAATGTAGAACTGTACTATTGATCACGCCACAGAAATTAATTGTGCAAAGTTTGGTGGCATTATGGAATGATTCATGCATTTTGACATTTTTTCAGAAAATGAGTTTTATCTTTTGAACTAAGCAGAATCGCTCGACAACAAATATACTTCTCTGAAAGCAGAAAATTTGCTGAATCCGATGGTAAAGAGAAATCATGGTGTCACTGGGCAAACTTGAGGATACAGGGAGTTTGAAAATGATACTCGTGATATTTATGTGGTACTGTATTAATGATCACGCCATAGAGATCAAATGTACACACTTTGGTGGCATTACAGAATGATTCAGGCATTTTGACATTACTTCAGAAAATGAGTCATATCTCCTGAACTAAGCAAAATCGCTCGACAACAAATATACTTCTCTGAAAGCTGAAAATTTGCTGAATCCGATGGTGAAGAGAAATCATGGTGTTGCTGAGGAAACTCGAGAGCACAGGTGCTTCGAGAATGGTGCTCGTGATTTAATATTGATAATTATGATTGATTAGCAATCAGTTATTGATTTCTGTCCTTGATCAAAAACGTCACAGCTGATAAAGTCTATTATGTTCATATAAATAACAATCGATACCAGGTATTTATCAATTGCTGTTCTTCCACGCCTAACATCTTAACTGTAAACAAAGTCGTGAATCTCCTCAAATTGGATGTTATTTTCATGTTTCCACCACTTATCAATTGCAGATTAGTGTCATTTCATTGTGAGCACCTTCCTTATTATTGATAATGCTGACTTTTCAGTAAACAACCTTGAATCATCGATTGCGTCGTTACTCGATAGATAGATAGACAGATACTCTGCTGCTTCTGAGCAGTGTTCCGCACTCATTTCGAGTAATTTCAATTCAGGTTTAGAAATGTGATCGAATATGTTTATTGGAAGTTTGAGTTAATGCCACAATATTAATTGCAATGAAATATGAAAAAATGCTATGTTTAATCATTTGTGGTTGTTTCAGTGCGATGAGGTAGTGACTGAGTTGCAGAAGAAATCGGCACCCAAATTATAGGTCCATTATAGGTAGTAGCTGATCGTAAGTTCGATGGGCAATAAATTTACAGTCACTTTATGAATAAACATGATTTTTTTCATTTTATATTGATGCATTTTCTCTTCAAAGCTGCCATTCTTGTAAACTTTGTAAACTTTATGATGTTTTAGAGACTTTATGCCTCAATACTTCAGTGCATTTCGACTAGATTGAAATTTCGTTTCGAAATCGTTTCGAGGCGATTGCTATGGAAAATGGTTGTCGTAAAATTTATTCGTTGGTAGTACATTATTATGAGACATCAACCTTCGTTGCCTTTATAATGACATTGTTGATGTGTTCTAATCCGACAATTGCAGACAGTGATTAATGACATCTAGTCGTAGTTGTTCGTTGATGTTTTACTGCGTGCAATTGTAAGAAATCAGATGATTCGCTGATTTTTACGGCTTTTTACTTCCACTCCCAATCAGGTGATTGATTCGTTCCGAGAGAGTCTAAAATGAAATTTTAACATTGATTTATGCATTCATTCATCATTGTCATTACGGTGTCATCGAGTCATAATTCATTTCTAGACTGAACATTCTGAAATTTGAATACAATTCGCCATAACTCACTAATAAATGCTCAATTATACCAACAATGGAACTGGTTCGTCTGCGTCGTAAGAACGTCGCAAATTTTTCATCATCTCATATGTTTACCTATAAAAAGCATGTATTATAAAGTCGTCTGCTTTGAAGTTTGTCTATTATCCATTATGAAACTTTTTTNTTTTTTGTGATAAGATTGATTTATACCAATTGAATAAGTCTTTGAGGTTTCATTCGTCGTATTTACGTTTGCGAGAACTCGAGATGAAAATGTACTCTGTTGAAAGGGTAGCTGCTGACTGGATCTTATTGTGATTTTGACATTGAAAGTTTATGTGAAAGTCGTTTGAAGTGATAGAGTTTGTGCTACCGGTATTTGCAATTGGAAGATTATTACAATGTGTTTGTTGTTGAAGGATTGATTGGTGCTTGAAAGTACATCAAAAATGTGTTTTTATGTTCGATGGCCATAACGATGAATAAACACAAGGATATCTCACTCGTTATCAATGTAAAATTGAAGCGATTAAACACATAACAACAACTACCAAAATGTGTTTTCCATTGAATCAGTCAGTCGTGTTCGTAAATGAAAAAACACGGGTGTTGTTGTTGTGGTTGTTGTTCGATTGCTCATTTTCATAGTCGTTTCCAATTTCAATTCCTTCCAACCATCCGCACTAGCTTTCATTGATAGCAACCAATCGATCACGTTCTCTTCTTTCATGTTGATCATTCAAAAGTGGTTTTTTTACGATCAGGTGATTTTCGCTTGAAATTCACTTGTCACCCATCACTTTGTACTAGAAAAATTCGAACTGACAACTTCCCACCAACATTTCTTCGAGTATAATTGCTAGATCGTTCGTCGTGTTTTCATTGGTAATGAAAAATCGTCCTTGTTCTTAAAATATCGTTTTTTTACTCGCTAGTTGATGAACAAAGAAGTTAACATCAAGTGATCATTTGAAAGTTTTCTAGTGAAGTTGATTTTAAGAATGAGATGACATTCAAGCAAAAATCATTGTTCAATACCTAACTAATATTTTGTTTTTGGAATGTGAACATTGAACGTTTTGATTGGCTGTGAATAAATTTTTCCGCTTTTCACTGTATACCGTTCNAAAAAACGGCTGCAACATCCTCCAGCCGACCGACATTCTATTGCTTTCTGCATTAGAAACATCACTATCAGTAATTTTTTGCGGTCTTCAAGTCCAATCGTTCCAATCGGCAATTCGAATTGTACCTTAAATCTTCTTCAATCGCTCTTCATCACACTGCTTCATTCATTTATATACCCTTGAATCAATGAACATTTTTCAACATATTTTTACAATGTGCCTCCTCCGATTGATTCTATGAAGCCGATGCAGTATGTTACGAAGATGTTACGTATAGATAAGCTTTTGTTGCATGTTAATCATCAAGCAAATTCATTTTTCTAAGCTGCGTTTGAATGATCACTTGATGATATTATATTCTGATGACGATGAGCAGATAGATAATAATGTTGCTCGTAAAAGGCATAAGAATGTTGATGTGTTTATTACTTATAAGGTTGTTGTTGTTGTTGTTCTCGTCATTCTATTCACATCGTATGAGGGTTCTTGCATCCACAACTGAATTATTTTCAGTGGCCAGTGGCAAAGCACAGTTCAGAATGAATTGCTTGCAGTTGTCGAATGGTGTTAAAATTCCCCTTATTGGCCTTGGCACTGGTGGCTTGGTAAGTGTCTTGAGTCAATTACTTCTTAAGGTACTTTTAAGGATGCATCCGATGAGTCTAAAGCCTAGATTCTCAGTCATTAGTTGATCGATACAATTGCAAAGGCTCTTGATTGTTCCAATTTATTTGTGGGATTAAAATATTACTGAAATGAAGAGGATCAAGTGCAAATGTGGTAATCGAATATTCTCAATGGATGTTCAGCCTGTATGAAAATACTAATATATTTATACCTCTAATTTATAGTTATGTTTATATTTATTTATATAGATATTTTATATTTTTTATTTGTATTTATTCGTATTTATATTTGTATAAAATATTTATGTATTTACTAATGTATTTAATTTATATTCACTTATACTATATTTCTATTTATACCTGGTAATCTCAACAGTATATCTCATTTTATATATCTAATTCTCGATCTGTCATGTTATTCAGTTTCAATGGCAGTTTTGACCACACTGAACGCTCTGATCTCTCCATATTCTTTCGATTGTCACTTAACTTTCTTAGAGTTCTTAACAATCTCATTTCCCTCAGAGATCATGTGTGTAGTTTATGTTTATCATCAAATGCGCAGAGTAAATTGAATCCAGAAATTGTATTCAGTATTCCACACCAGTTGAATTAGAGAATGCAATACGAACGGCGATCGACATTGGCTACAGACATATCGATACGGCTGCGATGTATGAGAATGAACACATTACCGGCAATGTTCTCGCAGATTTGATCCGATCCGGTAAAATTAAACGTGAAGAACTTTTCATCACATCCAAAGTTTGTTCCTTGGTTGCTGTGTTGTGTACATTCACCCGTAAATATAATTAGTCACTTGTTCTTGTTTGTTTACTTCATCGCGTTGCCACCGCTCATTTGTTTGTGCTCACTTAAGACGTATTTGTTTTTGAACACCTCGTTGGTACTTGATCATCTATCAAGGAATAACATGAGTGAGCAATTCTGTGGCTCTCTAGAATTCAACTGACAACTGCTTCGAGCAGACATGGTCATATGCTATCGCTGTCATTCAAATTTTTGCCATTCAAGCGTGTGCAATCGAAAGTACCCGTAAGGTTGAGCTATCATGAGAGAGCTGTTGAATGAGCGCACTCATCCAGAATTTTCGCACCAAATTAACCCGTAATCAGTATCATCCAAGCATACACCAGAAACCTTTGAACGGTTGAATCAGTATGCATTTGCCTTGAAGTTGCTGAAAGCAACCAGATTCCGAGGCCAGTCTTGATCATTGCTATGAAGATATGAAAATAAGATGAGCATGAAGTTATAGTTGCCTCCATCGTCGAATCGTCCTGATCTGGTGGAACCAACGCTGAGAGCAACGCTAAAGGATTTGCAAACGGATTATGTTGATTTATATCTGATCCATTCGCCTACTTCAACGATGGTAAATATTCTGAAGAATTCCTCGCTTTCGTTTCGGTGTACATGTTTGGGAGAGCATCAGAGTGCTGAGTGATTTTTTGCAAAATCCTACTTGAGAGATCATGTAAGCCCAAATTACCTGGATTACTTGGATTGGCCAGGCTATCAAACGTTCGTAACGTTGCTGGCCACAACGCTTGCGTTTCCATTCGCAATGTTTAAGCCTTTATTGACGCCACTCCACTGGCTAGGCGTACAGGCCACCCGATTACAATCAAGTGATTAATTAGTTGCCGTGGAAAGCCCAAATTATTGAAAGTATTTATGATGCAGATTCTGAATCATGACAGATGAATTCACGAACATTTTGTAAATTGATTGGTTACCGTTGAAGATTCCAATGCTACCTGATGCACATATGATCAAACTGATGACATTCAATTGGATATTGATTCAGGATGAATGATTCCATTGATGTGCTGATGAACTTCGTGCTTTATTTTTTGAGATATTTTCAGTTCTTTAATGGACTGACGATTATTTCAGCCTTCACCAGAGGGATTTAGAATGTACAGTGGAGCGAATCAAATCCAAAAACACGATCATGTTGATCTGACAAAAACATGGCAAGCAATGGAGAAAGTCTACGAGAAAGGATTAGCGAAGGCGATTGGCCTGTCGAACTTCAACGTAGAACAAATACAGAATATTTATCATGCGGCTAAAGTGAAACCGCATAATTTGCAGGTTCATTTCAATTTATGATGGTAATAAGATTGTTTCATCCGTTGCTGCCATGAGCAAACGCTAAAACCACTGATAATATGGTGAAGGAGATGGCGAAATTGCACGCTGTATTGGAATTAAAGTTTCAAAATTTTCCTAACTTGTTGTAAAAATCTGAAATTAATCAATTGATTCGTTTCAAGTGTTTTGTTGCAGATTGAGGTGCATATATATTTCCCACAACGTGAACTACACACACTCTGCACATCGTTGAATATTGCGGTAACTGCATTCGCTCCATTGGGATGTCCAAGTGAGTGATTAATTAGTAGCATTCATAGCTAATCACAACGATAATATTCGAGCTCCATGGTTCCGTTGATTGCACTGAGAATGTTTCATTCAAGAGTCAGTTGAGGAGCCTTGCAAAAGAATGCTTAAAGCGGTTTCTTAGTCGATCTATCGTGGATCTATCATGAATAGGATATGCTCTTAAGATTGAAAATTTCTCCAGTTGTTTTCGTGAGATTTTGTATCGGTAATGATTCAGGTAGACGCGGTAAGGATGGATGGCCTGAGAAAGTGGCCATTGACAATGAGATAGTGAAGGAGTTGGCAAAGAAATACGGCAAAACGCCGGCTCAAATCCTTCTCAGGCATTTGCTACAACGTCAGATTGTTGTCATTCCGAAATCAACAAACGCCGAACGATTACGCGAGAATTTCAACGTAAGTTTCGAAATCATGAGAGCAGGTTTCAACGGCAGATGTCAGCTTGAAATTGCTATCCTGCCCATTCATCAATGAGTACTTTGGCACAACTGCGGACGTCCAGGAACGAGTTGTTCCCAAAGAGTCGATTAGACCGCTGAGTTTATGAATTATGAATAGTTTGCATCAGTGTGACTCATTCATCAACTTTTTTTAATACTCTCCAAAAACGTTGCTTTCCAAGAAATTCAGAACCTCATAAAATAAGTGTACCGATGAAGATACTGGGAGGATATTCATTGCAGATATTCGATTTTGAAATCTCATCGGACGACATGAATAAGCTGAACCGTATCGAACCACAAGGGCGATTGTATACGTGGTCCGGCTGTGGGTTAGTGGTGTAGCACTTTTATTCATTGAACTTCTCATCAAATTCAGTCACATTCCCTGATCGAAGAGCGGAATGATTCAGTAGCGATTTTGCAATTGCAACTCTTTAATTGCGCTAAATATCTCAAAACTCCAAATTCTCATATTAATTATTTATGATGGCGGTTAGAAAAAGAAAAACCAAAAATTAGGCTGGATCAGCGTGAACGGAACACATCCTAAAACATTTCGACTGCAGATTGATCCGGTGAATCGCTTGTTTATTTGCATTTTCAGTTATCTATATCACAGTTATTTCTGACTACTTATAAATTAGGTTAATTTTCATTTATCGAACATCGTAAAATGGAACCGTGTTATATACACAAACGGTATTGCAGATTGGAATCACATCCTGATTACCCTTT